TGGAGGCTTTCAGCCCTTCTCAGAATCCCCCATCACCACCAAGAGCTGAGATCTGCAGTTTTTAATTCCTCATGCTTGAGTGATGTTGGAGGAAGAAAACTCTGCAGGTGCTTGCCACTGTTGCACAGCAATTGAGTCTTCTGTTGTGTGTGTGTTAATTTTATTTATTTCACTTATGCAAAATATGCAAGTTTTGCAGAAGAGAAGAAGTAGAGAAAAGGGTGGTGGAGAGACACATACCAAAGGATTAACCCATGCAGTTACTCTGGCTAATATCTTGCAACAATCAGTTTATATTACAGTTTCTTGTATAACTCCTGCAAACCAACCCAAACCTACATATTTTCCCCTTCAAAACACTGTGGTTCTATAAAGTGCCTAGTTTAACTATGGCATTTGCTCCCACAAGAGGTGGCTACTGACTTAGATGGCTGTAAAGGCAAATCAGACAAATTCATGGAAGAAAAGTCTACCAGTGACTACTAGACCTGATGGTTGGGTATGGCTGGGACCAGTATGACTCTGAATACCAGTTGCTGGCGATACATGCATGCAGTGCTATTTTTCTAGAAAAAGAGGAACTCGCCATGAACACCTCCCTTGTTCTCTTATAATGGCAATGGCGCCCACCTGAAAGTTTTGGCTGGAAAAAGCCCTGCATGCATGAGAGAGCGTTGTGTGCTCAGGTTCTGCTTGTGGGACACCAAGAGGCATCTGTTAGGCCACAGTAAGAACAGGATGCTGGACTAGATGGACCTTTGGCTTATTTGCTTATTCCACCTTTCCTAATTTGTAGCAGGCAGCCTTATGCTGCCCTAGGCCAAAATGAGATTTGCTGCTCCAGTTATTACCAGTCACCAGCAAAAGCTCTTAGCGTGCTAGCCAGACCCTGTGCATGTTGTCACTGTGGAGACAGTGCAGCTGCTCCATGTGCTGCAGTTACTGATAAATCAAGGTCATTATTGCACCAAAGGGAGAACAGATAAAACCCCAAGGAAAGGCATCTGATGTGAGTTATCTCTTAGAGGCTGCTGCAGCTCTACATCTTCCTGAAGCACTTGCCTATGCTAAGCTGCACCACCCCGCCGACAGCCATTAATCCGAAGTGCTCCCCTGGAAAGCTCCGACCAGACAGAGTCAATTTTTCCCCTTTGCTGACAAGGCAAACCCTCCCTCTCTCCCTCTGTTATATATATATTGGCTGTAAGTAGTGCAGAATTCTGCAGAGACACCGAGCAGATTCACCACGTCTAACGCTTACAAGGATGATAGTTAATCGCGGCATCCCTCCCACCCCACATCTCAAGCAAGAGACATTATCACAGTTCAAGGACACATTCCAGCCAGCAAATTGAGAGGAACAGTGCCGGTAAGAGGGAGTGGCCTAGAGGAATGGGGTGTCCCCCTGTGTAGGGTCTCGTGGACCATATAAAGAGCCTGGAAAGCAGTAGGCATTGTGGGTAAGAACTGTGGAGCCACCTGCCTGACACTGGCATTGCTGTCAATTTCCTGGACTGTGCTGGGATAGGACAGGGCCAGAGTGACCCTGTTATTACACCTACACAACCCCAGTTTTGCAGTCACCATCCAGGTATGTTGCAACAACACTGGTGTTAGGAGGGCAGAGTTGTGTGTACCATGGGGGCTGCCACTGAACTTCAGGTGTGACAGGCAGTAAACTAGACTGCTGCTTCAAGTGCAGTACAGGACGCTATACCATCACCAATGTTGGAGGTAATGGTGAATTACTAGTCTGGGCAATGTGGAACAGGTGTAGTGGTCCAGCAGACCCTCCAAGTGTCCCTATTTCCCAGGGACTTCTCTGATTTAGAGAAGCCATCCTGGTTTCTGATTTGATCCCGGAATGTCCCACTTTTCCTTAGGATTTCCTTGTTTTCATTGGAAAAATGTTGCAGTTATTCCACCCCTGAGCCATTTGAAGGCAGCCATATACAGTATAGGAAAGATTTTCAGTGTTTAGTGTTTTATTATGTTGTTATATATGTTTGAAACTGCCCAGAGTGGTTGGGACAACCCAGTAAGAGGTGTTGGGTATAAATACTAAAATTATCTTTATGGAATGGAAAGTCCCTATTTTCATTGGAGAAATGCACACACAATAAAAATATATTATAGTTTGAAAAAGTTCCTACAAAGAGAAAAATGAACAGCTATATATAACAAGTGTGCAGCCTGCAAACAAATAATACATGAGGCAAATAGCATAACTCAATCAAGAGTGGACAAGGAACAGAAAAATAACATTTCTCAGAGTATGAGTCAGATCTAGCATAACCTCTCCACAATTTGTTCCTGGCAGATGGGACAACCTTGTATTATTATGAAAGTAAGAAATAAATTGAAAGCAAACCTTATCAAAGTGGTCTCTTTTAGAAGCACCCCATATTATATGGAGCGGATGAGTAAGTCGCTCTTGAAAGGGCAATATGACATACTTTGCAAAATCAGGAATCTCGGAGATAAGACGTTGGAGGCTTCCAGTGCCCCAATATTGACATCCTGGCAACCCGTAAACTAAAAAGATCAAAGTCTTTTGAGAGATGGCTAGGTTTGCATCACATTCCAGGGACAGCAACACTAAAGCACGGACTGCTAGTAACCTCTTGCAAGCAGGACTGTGCAGGGGGCAGGAAGCAGCTGGGTATACCTGCCCCGGGTTTTGGAAGGCTAAGTTGGTCAGGGGGCCCTTCTAGGGGCCAGATGCTTTTTCATTTGCATTTATAACCTTTTTCTAACAAAATTCTCATCCCGGGCCTCATACAAGCTTTGCAAGAGCCTGCTGGCAAGTGCTGCAATCTCAGATATTGTGGTGAAGACCTTTGTCCAAAAGGGCTCTGTTTGCACAGTTCTTTCTCCTCATAAAGGGAGCTGAGAGAATGCTGTGGAAATCTGATGGCAAGGCTGGGGAACCTCAACCCGAGGGGTCAAAATGTCTTGTACTGAACTTGAATGGCTCCCCTGAGGTACTGGGCATGGCTTCCTGGAAGACTTGGAACTTTTTTCACAGATTAGGCTCATTTAACGAAGAATGCCCAGCATCAATTGCCTGCTTTCCTACCTTCTGTGATGATAAACGAGAGACTAACAGCTAACCTCAAAACATGAACTCTGCAATGTTGTCCATCATCATGGTAACAGATGAAAAGATATCCCCATGTGCTGCATTGAAATAGTAATATGTTATTCCAACAGCCTCAATGCAAATAAATAAGCAGATTAATCTGATTCTGACACTTCTTTAAATACTGGGTTCCTCCTATCTACAGTTGGTAGGAAGAAAGAAAAATGGGCTTTTGGGGAGCCATTTTTAAGAAATTCATGTGGCGAGTACTCATATCAATGTTCCTTTGAAACACACCTTGGGTTGCAGGAGGAATCCCAAACAGCAAGAAAGAGAGCTGAATGTTAAGATGCTCAGAGGGAGCTGTTAACCCAGCAAGGGTTCAGGGGAGACTGGGAGATTTATGCCTGTTCCTCCTCTTCCTGGTAGATTATATCCCTCTATCTGAGTTGACCCTTCCTTCCATGGAAACTCCTCGCAAGTGAGCCTTCTGGCAGTCAAAATGGGTATTCCTATGGCAACTCTGACCTACCCACTGCCAATTTAGCTTGTGAAGTCCTGGTAGAGGGGATGAAGCAAGAGGTTTGGGGATGAAGGCAGTGCTTACAATTAGGTCAAAGAGGATATTGGAAGTGTCCAGGCAAGACATCTTTTGGGGCTGCCTTGGGACTAGAATAGGTCCTCTAGGTCCTTGGCTACAGACTGGGGTTATTTGTGGTGTCTGAAGCCTCCTCCTACTTTGGGTAGATATAAATTCAATCAACCAGTAAGAGGTCTCCTGTGGTCTGGATCAGGCAGGATCCTTATAAAGTACTACAAGATAATGTATGTAAAGTACTATGAATGCTAGTAAAAACACACCATAGTGGTAGTTTTGTTATTTAACTCAAAGGTGAGGAACCTCAAGTCAAGGGACCAAATGCAACCCCCCAGGTCTCTCTATCTGGTACTCAGGATTCTCCCCAGGCTACACCTTCTCCTCAGCCACATTCCACCTCCACCCTCCTCACCACTCCTATTTTGTATCCTCCTTGGATGCTTTAGTGCAGCCTTTCTCAACCCAGATGTTGTTGAACTACAACTCCCATCAGCCCTAGCTAGCAAGGCCAGAGCTCAGGGATGATGGGAGTTGTAGTCCAACAACATCTGGGGACCCACAGGCTGAGAACCGCTGCTTTAGTGTGTCTTTGAACTCTGACAAGGTCACTTGCTTTCCTGGATGGAGGGCAGAGAGGTTGTCTGAGTGCATGTAGGAACTAGCCTACTGAACAAAGTTTTTCTTTAAAAAAAGAAAAGTTGCCCCACCTACGTCTGCCTCTGGCCCCACTTACCACTGTGCCCCTCAGTCTGAAAAAGCCCCCCTACTCCTGATTTAACTCAATGCACAGCAGATCTGTTTCAAATGTCCAACAACATTTCAAAGCCTCCGTGTTGTGTGAGCACTAAATCTGTGTTCCACCTACACAGCCCCACAGATAGCAACTTAAACACCAAGAAAACCTCAATAAGTGCCAAAGATGTTCCATCAATGCAACAGAAGGTGTGTGATGAGCTCATTTGCATGTTATATAAGCAAGCCTTTAGTATCACCGAAAACCCCAACTGTGGACCACACTCATCCAAGCAGACCAGTAGACTTTCCCTTTATCTGTTTATTCAGTGCAGAATGAGAGCTTGATAAAACATATCAAGCTTTAAAGCTGTGGGATATATCCAGCTTCACAAAACCAGCATGCTGAACTCTAATTAATGTATGAAGGGGTTGAGACTATAGAGGCAGCTGTCCTGCCAGGCTTGGCCAGGTCAAAGCCTTTATCTTGAGAGGGAAAGTTAACAATCTCTTTTTTATTTCTTTTTCCATCATGTGAACAAATCAGTAAGAATGTCTGGGCTGATTGCTCCAAGCCTTGACCATCAAGTCACCTCTGTATTTCAATACAAATAATTTAGAAACATTTACCAACTTTGAAATGAAATTGTACTGCCTTTTCTTGCTATATGGAAAAGCACATGAATCTAACCTTAGAAGAGTTTAAGTGCTTTCTATGCTTAAGGGGAAGCGGGGAACTTTGGAAGCAACTTAGAAGGGGATATTTTAAATGACTAAAGGCCTATATTTCTGCTTTACTTTGCTACATGTTTATTGATTTGAACTCTCTCACACAAAAGCATACTTGCCTCAGAACGGGCTCTAGGCATCCTGGGAATTCTCATTTTATTCTTTAACCAAATTACTACTAGAATACCAACAAAAGCAAAGAGGCTAGTTCAGTTCATCCCAAATGAAATGTTTAAGCAGCAGCATTAAGATGTCTTAGCCTGATGAGTTTTGGAGGGGCGGTTGTGAAGGCATCGTTGTTGCTAGATAAACCTACAAAAGAAATGAGATTGAATCATATTAGTCTCTAATGAAAATAATTCCAATTTACTCTGCGTAGGATATTATCCAAAAACATGTTTGTGCGCACACAGAGCCACAGGCCGCTCAAGCTGCTTGTTTGTTTATTCCCCAGCACAAGGAAAAAGATACAGGGGTCTATATATTTTCTCTCATGGGTGGAAAATCTATTTTGACAGAAGGCATTGGGTGAAAAATGGAAGTTGTTTATATTTCATTGGAATAACAGAGAGCAAGAACAAATAAATTTGTATTTGTTAGTAGGAGACATATTGAAATATTATTACATCTTACATTATCTTCCAGCATACAATGCATTTCACTGCTTCACTCTAAGTAATGTAGAAGTACGATACAAAATATCTGCATTTCTATTTATCTTAACACATAAGAGTTATTTTAGCATTTTAACACTCATGGCTTCCCCCAAAAGAATCCTGGCAACTATAGTTTGTTAAGGGTACTGAGAGTTGTCAGGAGACCCTGAACAAACTACAGTCTCCAAAATTATTGGGGGGGGGGGCGCATGACCATGATAGTGGTACAGGTGTTCATTTTTTCCCTCTAAATTTTTTTTATTGGTTTTCACAACATTATAAACAAACAAACACATAAGACAAAGAAACATAAACCATAGCCTTATTGAAGATTATTAACATTGTTAAGTGACTTCCTCGCTTCCCCTTGGTTGAATTTCATTGCATATCCTTTTAACGGTTTTCCAAATCACAGTTCTTATAAAATTTAACTTTAACATTAACATCCTTAGATCTTCACATTATGAAATTAAACATATTAATTCATCACTTAACATAAGGTGTTCATTGTGTTTGTTGTGGATGTGACCTGAAACTAAGTATTATCCTGTGCACAAATATTTTTTGAAAGTGACCCAGAAACTACAACTAATCCAGAATGTGGCATCTAGACTGGTGACTCGGAGTGGCCACCAAGACCACATAACACCGGTTCTGAGAGATCTGCATTGGCTCCCAGTACATTTCCGAGCACAATTCAAAGCGTTGGTGCTGACCTTTAAAGCCCTAAAGGGCCTCGGTCCAGTATACCTGAAGGAATGTCTCCACCCCCATTGTTCTGCCCGGACACTGAGGTCCAGTGCTGAGGGCCTTCTGGCTGTTCCCTTGCTGCGAAGAAGCCAAGTTACAGGGAACAGAGAAAAACAACTACCAGACTTTTAGAAGAAAACTGAAGGCAGCCCTGTTTAGGGAAGCTTTTAATGTTTGACAGACTATTGTATTTTAATATTTTGTTGGAAGCCGCCCAGAGTGGCTGGGGAAACCCAGCCAGATGGACAGGGTATAAATAAATCATTGTCGTCGTCGTCGTCGTCGTCATCATCATCATCATTGTGTTATGAACACTCTCCTTTTTCTTCCTCATTTTTGTAATTTATCTTTGAACAACAAAAGGAGGAAAATGGCCAGCAGAGAGTGGCGAACCACCTCTCACCCTTCCTCAATTCCTGATTGCAGTCTCCAGGCTCTGCTTTTTTCAGTTACGTATACAAAGCAACCAAGGGGCACGGGTGGCGCTGTGGGTTAAACCACAGAGCCTAGGACTTGCTGATCAGAAGGTCGGCAGTTCGAATCCCCACGACGGGGTGAGCTCCTGTTGCTCAGTCCCAGCTCCTGCCAACCTAGCAGTTCAAAAGCACGTCAAAGTGCAAGTAGATAAATAGGTACTGCTCCGGCGGGAAGGTAAACGGCATTTTCATTCACTGCTCTGGTTTGCCAGAAGTGGCTTAGTCATGCTGGCCACATGACCTGGAAGCTGTACGCTGGCTCCCTTGGCCAATAAAGCGAGATGAGCGCCGCAACCCCAGAGTCAGTCACGACTGGACCTAATGGTCAGGGGTCCCTCTACCTTATACAAAGCAACCAGGGGAAATTACGCAGAACTTTATGTAGCTTCTGGTTTTGACTGAGATTCTAGAAAGAAGCCTCCAGCAACAGCTATTTGATAAGGCCATCTCAAGAGACAACGTAACTCTTCACCCTGTCTGCCCAGCCAACTGCCTCCCCATCTGCCTGTATCTTTAATCTCCTTTCCTTAATTTATTAGCTCACAGCACATCAAGAAGTGACGGCAAAGGTCATCTCTCTCCTCAGCTGCTTTTGATTGGACACATTTGTCTTTCCAGTGACAGCCCGTCAAATGTCAAACATACTCCTGATGGAATGGAAGTTGGTTTTGACACAAGTGGAGCTTTTGGAGAACAGAACAAAATCAATCAGCCATGGTATCTTTTCCAGTTTATTTTTTTTATATGAACGCTGCTGAGGAAAAAGATTTACTCAAGCTTCTTTTCATTTCTTAACAGCAATCCATTTTGTCAAGCACATATAACCATCAAGCAGTGGGCCACCTTTATCACATTCACCATCAAGCCTGTCTTCAAGAAATAATCGTTAACATAGCACCTAGCTTGCTTGTTTGCTCCCAGCATATATCTCCTACCTTTCCTTTTTCAACAGAAAAATTCAAGGAGTTTGTCCTCTCCCTTCAAACAGAATCCAATAAATTCTGTTTTAGATGCGTCTATTCAGTAGCCCCACCCATTTATTGAATCACCTCCTTAATTTATTCCAAACGGTTAATTGGTAGGAAAAAAGTAACATTATGTCATCTGCATATACTGTATTACAATACTGATTTCTTCTGCCCACCTTTATTCTTCTTATCTTCTGGTCATCTCTCATTGCTAAAGCCAGACTTTCTTTAAAAGCTGTAAATGGTGGTGGTGCAATGGCAAGTGGAGGGGAGACTTGCCATCTTGTCCTTCTCCCGAGGCACTAAAATGTTGGAACTGAAAATCCACTTTGGAACTTGCATTGTTTTTTTCATTCTTCTCCCTGCCTCCCCACTGCCTCCCCCATCACATCATCCTGTTTAGCTTTTGGAAGTATCTTTCCAGGTTAGATTTGTTCTCCCAAGGATGGATAATTCTCTACACACACACACACACACACACACACACACACACTTATTTTAAGCCTCAACCTTTATTTCCCCAGGTGCTATTATCACTTTGCACAGTTACAGCTCCTACCTTCACTCTGGACAATTTGATTGGCAGAATATCAGCCCCAAATGAAACAACCTTTAGTGAAACATTTAATGAGCCCCACCATGACCCTAATTTAAGATGAATACTTTTTGAAGAGCGGCACAGCTAAGAGACAAAAGAACATCTTTGGTGCTCTCGCTCTCTCTCGCTCTCTCTTTCTCGTGTGTGTGGGGGGGTGTTAAAAAATGAGGAAGTGGGTGGGGGGAATCACAGTGGCCTCTTTCTGTCAGCGCTCCTGAGCTTCCACACTTAATTTCTCCCCCACCACTACACCTGCTTTCATCTCTGCAAAACACTACAGTGGTGCCTCGCAAGACGAAATTAATTCGTTCCGCAAGTTTTTTCGTCTAGCGAATTTTTCGTCTAGCGAAGCACGAAATCCCATAGGAATGCATTGAAATTCAATTAATGCGTTCCTATGGTCAAAAAAAGTCCAAACAAAGCCAAATTTGGTACAACAAGAGTTTATTAAGTGCTCTTTAAAGTCACACATACTGTAAAGAGCATTTCAAAAACTGAAGGAACAATAAATTAAGTTTCTAAACATGACAGAAAAACATTTAAAAATCAACAAAGTGTACAGTACATTTTCTAAGACTCTGGGGGACCACTCGAAGAAGGTTCCTCTTCCACTCTTTGCTTCTTGCTGAAGAACCTGTCCATGGTCTGCTGCTTCATCCGCCTTTTCAGCACCTCCCTGAAAGGCGACATGACCCTCGTATCAAAAGTGTTCGCAAGGTCATGTGCCACGTGCTTGTCAGGGTGGTGCCGCTGTGCAAAGCCTGCACATCCTTCCACTTCATGCAAATGTCCCTCAGTTCTTTGGAGGACAGCCGTTCCTCAGTTGCTTCCTCCTCTTCCAGCGAGGCCTGCTCCTGCGCAGCCTCTGCCTGCAGTTCGACCAGCTCCTGGGTGGTCAGCTCGTGGTCGTACTCCTCCACCAGCTTGCTGATGTCCTCCTCTGTGACCTCCAGGCCCATGGTCCTGCCCAAGGCAACAATGTCCTGCACCACTGTTGACTCTGGTGCATCAGAGTCACTTGGTGCCACACAGTCCGGCCACAGGCTGCGCCAAGCGCAATTCAAATTTCTCTGGCTGATCCCGTTCCAGGCCGTGGTGATCATCTTCAAGCAGGTGACGATGTTGAAGTGATCCTTCCAGAATTCCCGCAGGGTGATGGTGGTGCAATCAGTCACCTCGAAGCATCGCCTGAAAAGCTCCTTGGTGTAGAGTTTTTTGAAATTGGCGATGACCTGCTGATCCATCGGCTGGAGCAGTGGCGTGGTGTTAGGCGGCAGGAACATGATGCTGATGAAGCTGAAACTCCTCCAACAAGTCCAACTCAAGGCCTTTAGGATGAGCAGGAGCATTGTCCATCAGAAGCAAAGCCTTCAGCGGCAGGTCGTTGTCCAGCAGGTACTGTTTGACAGCAGGGCCAAAGCAAGATTGCCCCAGTCCACAACCAGCACACGTGTGACCCAAGCCTTACTGTTGGATCACCACATGACACTCAGCTGCTCCTTGTCGACCTTGTGTTTCTTGAAGGCCCGTGGGTTCTCCGAGTGGTACACCAGCAGGGGCTTGTTCTTCAGGTCGCCGCTTGCGTTGGCACAGAAGAGCAGGGTCAGATGGTCCTGCATGGGCTTGTGGCCAGGCAACTTGGCCTCCTCCTGAGTGATGAAAGTCCTTTTGGGCATCCTCTTCCAAAACAGCCCGGTCTCGTCGCAGTTGAAGACCTGCTGTGGAACGTAGCCCTCCGTCTTCACAGCCTCCAGGAACTCCGCTGCAAAGTCTTCAGCCGCAGGAACATCAGAACTGGCAGCCTCTCCATGCCTGACCACGCTGTGGATTCCAGATCTTGCCTTGAACCAACCTCTGCTTGCCTTTAAGACTTCTGGCTCGCCTGAGGTTCCTGGCTGTTCCCGGACGAGGTCTGCATGCAAGGCCTTGGCCTTCTCACAAATGACGGCCTCAGTCACTGTGTCCCCTGTACGCTGCTTCTCTTCTAACCAGATGAGCAGCAACTTCTCGAACTCCTCCAGAACAGCTGGGCGGTTCTTTACGATCCTGGTGACTCCCTTGGCTGCATCAGTCGCAAGGATCTTCTCCCTCATCTTCAGGATGGTCCCGATGGTCGATGGATTCCTCCCGTACTCCCTGGCGAGGTCTGTCACACGCATTCCACCGTCGTGCTTCCGGATGATCTCCTTCTTCATTTCCAGCATCACCTTCTCCTTCTTCCTCTCGCCGGCCTCTGCAGCAGCAGTCTTCTTGGGTCCCATGGCAGCACAGCTCCTACCTGCGCAAACCCAAAAAAAAAATAAAAAAAATCAGTGCTTCACATCCAAAAAATTCAAAAGCACCCAGCCACCCACCACACAGAAATTCAAACCCAGAACCAAGTCCTTGAATTCCAAACACCCAACCCAAAATCCAAAACCCCCCAAAAAAGTTTTAAAAGTTTAACTTACCAAATGGCTGCAAAAGAAGTTTTGGAAAAGCTTCAAAAATCGCCAAAGTCTTCTAAAACCTCAAATGGCTGCAAAGAAGTTTTGGAAAAGCTTCAAAAATCACCAAAGTCTTCAAAAACCTCAACTGTTCCCCCAGCCACCCACCCACCACACAGAAATTGCAAACCCCTCCCCAACTGTTGCAAACCCCTCCCCAACCCACCACACAGAAATTCAAACCCAGAATGCTTTTTTTTAAAAAAAAAAACATGGCCCAATGGTCACAGAAAATCATAAAAATTCAAAAAAAAAAACCACACAAGCTCCCAGATTCTTGCAAGCCCCTCCCCAACTGTTCCCCCAGCCACCCACCACACAGAAATTCAAACCCAGAATTTTTTATTTTTTTTTAAACACAACATGGCCCAATGGTCACAGAAAACCATAAAAATTCCAAAAAAAAAACAAAAAACACAAGCTCCCAGATTCTTGCAAACCCCTCCCCAACTGTTCCCCCAGCCACCAACCACACAGAAATTCAAACCCAGAAAAATTTTTTTAAATAAACAACATGGCCAATGGTCACAGAAAATCATAAAAATTCAAAAAAAAAACCACACAAGCTCCCAGATTCTTGCAAACCCCTCCCCAACTGTTCCCCCAGCCACCCACCACACAGAAATTCAAACCCAGAATTTTTTTTTATAAAAAAACAACATGGCCCAATGGTCACAGAAAATCATAAAAATTAAAAAAAAAAAACCACACAAGCTCCCAGATTCTTGCAAACCCCTCCCCAACTGTTCCCCCAGCCACCCACCACACAGAAATTCAAACCCAGAATTTTTTTTAAAAAAAAAACATGGCCCAATGGTCACAGAAAATCATAAAAATGCAGAAAAAAACCCACACAAGCTCCCAGATTCTTGCAAACCCCTTCCCAACTGTTCCCCCAGCCACCCACCACACAGAAATTCAAACCCAGAATTTTATTTTTTTTAAAAACACAACATGGCCCAATGGTCACAGAAAATCATAAAAATTCAAAAAAAAAAACCACACAAGCTCCCAGATTCTTGGAAACCCCTCCCCAACTGTTCCCCCAGCCACCCACCACACAGAAATTCAAACCCAGAATTTTTTTTTAAAAAAAAAAACAACAACATGGCCCAATGGTCACAGAAAATCATAAAAATTAAAAAAAAACCCACACAAGCTCCCAGATTCTTGCAAACCCCTTCCCAACTGTTCCCCCAGCCACCCACCACACAGAAATTCAAACCCAGAAAAAAAAAAAACTAAAAAAAAACAACATGGCCCAATGGTCACAGAAAATCATAAAAATTCAAAAAAAAACCCCACACAAGCTCCCAGATTCTTGCAAACCTCTCCCCAACTGTTCCCCCAGCCACCCATCACACAGAAATTCAAACCCAGAAAATTAAAAAAACAACAACAACATGGCCCAATCGTCACAGAAAATCATAAAAATTTAAAAAAAAAACCACACAAGCTCCCAGATTCTTGCAAACCCCTCCCCAACTGTTCCCCCAGCCACCCACCACACAGAAATTCAAACCCAGAATTTTTTTTTTAAAAAAAAAACATGGCCCAATGGTCACAGAAAATCATAAAAATTAAAAAAAAAAACCACACAAGCTCCCAGATTCTTGCAAACCCCTCCCCAACTGTTCCCCCAGCCACCCACCACATAGAAATTCAAACTCAGAATTTTTTTTTGAAAAAAAACAACATGGCCCAATGGTCACAGAAAATCATAAAAATTTTTAAAAAACCACACAAGCTCCCAGATTCTAGCAAACCCGTCCTCAACTGTTCCCCCAGCCACCCACCACACAGAAATTCCAAACCAGAAGTTTATATAAAAAACAGCAGAGTGGCCCAATGGTCACAGAAAATCATAAAAATGCAGAAAAAAACCACACAAGCTTCCAGATTCTTGCAAACCCCTCCCCAACACCAAGTCCTTGAATTCCAAACACCCCAACCCAAAATCCAAAACCCCAAAAAAAGTTTTAAAAGTTTAACTTACCAAATGGCTGCAAAAGAAGTTTTGGAAAAGCTTCAAAAATCGCCAAAGTCTTCAAAAACCTCAAAAAAGGCTACCACACCGCGTGCTATGAGTTGCTCCTCGAAGTCAAGTCTCAACTGCACCTCTTCAAGCAATGCACCCTGGGTTTTAACGGTTTTATGAAAAAGGAAACAAACTTGCAAGACGTTTTCGTCTTGCGAAGCAAGCCCATAGGGAAATTCGTCTTGCGAAGCAACTCAAAAAACGAAAAACCCTTTCGTCTAGCGAGTTTTTCGTCTTGCGAGGCATTCGTCTTGCGGGGCACCACTGTATTGCTGAATGTGTCTCACTCTTGATCATCCCCAGGTGACAACCCTGTTCCTTCATGCTCCTTTCACTTTTTGACCCAGTGCTTGCACTTCCATTTTCCTCTAAATACTCAGCATCATTTGTTCCACAAACAAACAAACAAACAAACAAAAACCAACACTGAGTATACAAGACACAGAAAGACCATATAAGAAAAGAAGGGCTCCACAGCTTTCATTACATGCATGTCTACAGCAATAAGAAGTTATTAAGACAGTGATGGGGATCCTCCAGCACATGGGACTAATTACTTACTTACTTACTTACTTACTTACTTACTTATTAGATTTCTACCCTGCCTTTCCTCCCAAAAGAGTCCAGGCCAGCAAACATCAAAATTTTAAAGCAGTACAATTAAAATAAAAGCATATTATTGCATGCCACTCCAATCTGTGAGCAGTGTGAGATTCCAGGGGTTCCAGGGTTTGTGTTTCCTTTGGAATGGGGGACAGTAGGGACTGTGGCGTCTTTATGATATATAGTTTATTTAAACATATATACAACCTGAGCCTATGGTGGAGGAGTTCACAGCATTAACACCCCAAGAGAGTCTTGCTTCATCCATAGTCACAGCCTTGGATGTGAGCAGAAATCAGGCATGTCTTTCCCTGACAGGCATGGAAAGACCAGCTTAGCCTCTTCACATGCTTGGGAGAACAGCTTTGGTCATATCCTAGCTGACCTCTTGCTATATTTTACCTTATGAGACTCCATGACCTGGACTACATGTGGGAAGTTGGAAGCAATAAATCTCTGAACAGTAGAATACTCAAGTAGTAGGTTTGCATATACTATAAAGCAGGTATAGGGGGATTTGTAACCCTCCAAAAATTGCTGGTCTACAACTACCCTGATCCCTGACCATTGGGCTATGCTGACTGCTGCTGCTGGGAACTGGAGTCCAGCAACACCTGGAGGGCCACAGGTTCCCCACTCCTACTATAAGTGTCTGTTTAACAAGGGCAATTTCCTGTAACATGTTGCCATTTAAATCATTATCCTTATGCTACCTTCAGGGCATGTTTAAATTTTCATTCATGTGCGTGGTGCAAGTATGCTGTTCTTCAAGCAATGCTGTCTTCTACCCCCCCCCCCCCATCTCTAGAAGTAGATGTTCAATGAAAAGATGGACAGTATGAACTCAATGGGTGGAATAAGAGGTCTCCCAGACCTCATTACGGAACCAGTGATATCTTTCATTCATGTTAGAAAATGTCAGTGCAAATATTTTCCTGGTTGTCGCTGGTTTGTTTTTGTTTTTCTTACCAAAAAAAAATATTTTTTTTGCAAGCACTGCCAACAGTGTAAGCAAATATGAAATCATTACTTGTCAGCAAGCTTGCAATTTTAGTGCTATGGACATTGCAATAAAAATTGCAGCAATTCCCACCAATGACATCCCTGACTTTCCCATTTTGGGATCCAGGAAGCCTTTGTGGATCTTTGCCAGCACACAATATTAAATAAATAAATAAAACAAGTTGCCAGTTGGCTTTTGTAATAGCATAAGCTCAATGTCTATGGTTTAGTTATCTTCTGGATAACATGCTGCAAACAGAAACGCCTTTAGAAGGTTTTTCTTAAATGCCATGTTCAACCACAGGAAAACTGGGCTTCATTTAACTAGAAGAACTTTCTATTAGAGAGTGACAGAGACAGCCATGTTTCTTTCTTCACCGCCCCATTGAGGAAGGGGCACAAGGCCATTAGAGATACGTTCTTGCATGCAGCAAAATAAATCAGATGGTTGTGGGTATCACAAACTGCTCACACTAAACTTTATAATGGTTGCATTTATACTTCCAGGCAGTGCTTTTTTCTGGGGGGGGGGGGGACACAGGGGTACGCATACCCCTAAACATTTTGTGAATCTTTGTACTTTTGCCCATTTACTGTATTTATTTTTCTTGAGTCAAAAAAACAACAACCACTGCTTCCAGGGAGAAGAGCTTGTGGGGTTTTCTGTGTCAGGTGCCAAAAGAACTGGGCTGCCCTTGGGTGCTATGCACCTTGATTTGGGAATGGGTGCTATTCTCAGGCTACCCCTGGCTGTTGTTTAGTGACAGAGCACACACTTGACAAGCAGAAACCCCCACCTCCCATCTCTGGCATTTCCAGTTTTGAAACAGATCAGGTGGTAGAGAGAAAGGTCTAAGACCCCAATAGAGCCACTGTCCGTCAGACTAAGCAATACTAGGCTAGATGGGCAAATAGCCCGCCTCGTAAGGCAGCTTCCTCAGTTCCCATTTACACAACAAAAGGGATCTGAGCCTTTACACAGAAATATAAACTGACTCAGACTTTGTGATCATGATCTCAGGCCCTTCTTCAAGTGCCTCCTCTACATGAGGTCCAAAGGGTGGCAACACGAGAACAGGCCTTCTCTGTAATGGCTCCCCATAGTGGTGCCAGGCAAAAACATTCCTCTTCAACCAGGCCTTTGACTGATTAATATTCTACAGCCTTTTAAATGTGTTTGTGGAAAGGAGGGTTATTGTTTTGTTGTTCCTGTTTAACTATTTATTTGTGCTTTTATCCTGTGTTTTTATCTTGTGAAGCATCATGAGATCTTTTGATAAAGGGTGGAATAATAATAATGATAATAATACAGGAAGTTGCCTTATCTGAGTCAGTCCATAGTTCCATCTAACTCAGTATTGCATACACTGACTGGCAGCAGCTTTCCAGGATTTCAGACAGGAGACATTCTCAGCTCTAACTGGAGGACAGGGGATGGAACATGGGACATTCTGTATGCAAAGCAGATGCTCTATGCCTGAGCTGCAGCAGGACAAAAGACTCAGCTTCTACATTTTGAAATGTATTGATGAAGAACCTGATAGATCCAAAACACCTTGGATTATAAACGTTTTGACATTAAACTGTTTCTTCTGCCTCCTAAGAAGAGGGCAAGCCACCCCACCCACTTTGAGACTGAGGCTCTGGAGAAAGGAAGAGTCAAGAGTTAGACCATGCCAGGAGCACAGGAAGGTGAGGAACACACTGCCTACTGCCACCCAACTGCCATCTGCCCTGATTCAGCACTAAACTGTGCGTTTTGCTGGGGGAAAGCGGCAGGTGAAACAGAAGTGTGGATGAGCCCTAGGACACAAAACTTAGGTTAAAGCACAAACCTTACAAAGATAAACTTTACAGAGAAAAAATACATCAGCTGATTTAGAGATGAATTGGGCACATATATGGACAAGTATATGTGCCCACTTGCTCCCATCACCAGCTCTGTGGTGACTTTTTCAGAAGTGTCAAAATTCTTCAAGGTGCAGGGGTAGCCAAAACAGCTAAGTGAAACTTTACAAGATCAGTGACTTCAGAATATAGAGTGTCTGTTGGGGATGGGGATAGAAAACTAGGAGGGAGGTAGAATGGAATGGAGTAACATGGACAGAGGCACTTCACACTGCAACATTTTGTTGTAGGATCATCAGAATCATCTCCTCTTTCAGCTTCCATCCAGACATACAGGTGCTCCTCCTGAAATAAAACTCCCCTGTTTTCATTTCAAAATTGATGCAAATCCAAACTTACCCTGGAAACAGCACTTACTCGCTTGTGCATCTGCCTGCAGAGGTTATGGGCACTTCAAGCATTGTAATTGTTCCTTTCCTTTCATTAGCCTCCAGTTTGCCCTAAACATTTTAAGAGGAAGAAAGATTCTAATAATTTGCTTGAGCAAATTAATTTCTCAAAGAGCTTCGCTTGCCAGTAAGCCTAAGTGTTTTGGCTCATGCCAGGAACAGCGTTTAGGAAGGGACAAATTCAGCATTCGGCTGACTTCTCTCTCTCTCTCTCTCTCTCTCTCTCTCTCTCTATATATATATATATATATTTAAAAGTCCCTGAAGAGGAACATCATAATATTTAGAGCTGGAAAGCACAAGTGCTCCCACCTGCCATGATAATATCAACAGTAAATTGCTCCCTGGGTCATAAACTGGGGCAATGGCTTAATAACAATGTTATGTACCTGCTATGAAAGAGATGCTTTTCATTTATGTGGAACATAGCAATCAGGATGGACTGGTAGGAGTGCCAAAGAAGTGCCTCTACAGCAGCTTCTGCTGAATTTCAAAATATATATTTTTTATTTTGTTATTATAAAATTATGCATGGCATGGAGAATGTTGTTTACCTCTGTAGGGAGAGAGACATGGGAAATGTATCCTTGTTTATTCTCCTTGATCTCTTAGCAACTTCCTATACCATCAAGCATGGTATCCTTCTGGAGCTGTCTGAGTTGGGGGTGGGCAGCACCTCTTTGCAGTGGTCCCAGTCTTACTTGGATGTTAGTTTTCAGAGAGTGGTGCTTTCAGGCCCATGGAGCCTTCTGTGTTGTTTACCATGTACATGAAACAAATGAGTGAGGTCATTTTGAGTTTTGATGTTTGATGACCCACAACTCTATTCATAGCTGTCAACGTTTCCCTTTTTTTAAGGGAAATTCCCTTATTCCGAATAGGATTCCTCGCAAGAAAAGGGAAAAGTTGACAGCTATGACTCTATTTCTTTACATTTGCAGGTGATGCAGTAGATTTGCTGGACTGATGTCTTACATTATAGACAAGATGAGAGCCAACAAACTGAAGCTCAGACCAGTTACAACTGAGGCCCTGTTAGTGAGTGGTTTCCTAGACTGGATGGATGGGAGGCTGCTTGCTTTTAAAAGGGTTACACTCTCTTTGAAGTATCAGATACATAGCTTGATGGTAGTTCTGGAAGCATTGCAGGGGTTTGGACTAGATGACCCTTGTGGTCCCTTCCAAATCT